TTCAAATATGTGAAAAACTGGTTCTCTGTATGGATGCCGCTTCTGGAAGTCCATTCTGGGCCTGGGCAACAAAAAAATTAGCTATCAGTTCTGCCAAAGTGGTGCGAACTGGCTGAATCCCACCACTGGATACATCCCTGCAGTTTTCTCAGCAAGGATTTTTCAGAAATGGTTTGTCATTGTTTCCTTCCTTGGCTGGGAGAAAGTGACTGGTCCATAGTCACCCAGCTGGCTTTGTGTCCAAGGTGGGACTAGAACCCACAGTATTCTGGGTTTCTAATCTCATGTCTCAATGACTACACCAAACCTGATCTCGATCTGTATTTAGCTATATTAGATATTTTCATATTTACCTTCGGTTTAATATGATAAAGACAGACAAAATTGTACCTACTTTTTGCTCCTGTTTATTTTCAAGTTCCTCTTACAGGGGATTTTCCACTTAGTAAGAGCACAGTAATTTTATTGTGCAACTCACAATAAGGTTTTCATGCACTAATTAAACATTAATAGAATACATGTTGCTGAAAGAGGAGATTTTCTGTTAAACCAAGTGGATTTGATTCCCTCTCTCATCTATAGTTAGGAACTGAATTATTTTAAAAGACTGATAAACTATTTATTATATCACTATTTACTGATCCTGGTCCTTAGCCTTTTCTATTTAGGTTGTAGAAATGAAGGAAAAAACTATATAGTTTTTTTTATAGCTATGTATTTATGTGAAACTAAACATCTTTTAAATTTTGGAATGATAATATAACATTTGCGACTCAAAACTTTAGTAGGAAGTCATCAAGCTTGGAATAACATGTATAGGTCAACATGGTGATAATTAAATGGTAGTCTTAAATGTGGAGGTTGAAATGACTCATGCCTTCAACTTAAAACATATGTTTAGATGTAGTTCTATATATTTTAGGAGCTGGTTGCATTAACTTCTGACAAGCTGACCAGGTGGCAGGGATTTCAGACAATTTTATGTCAGAGTGATGATTAAACATGAACAACTTATCCAAGTAAGGTGATGCTGAGTCTTCCATAACTCAATATATTTTCTTTTCTTTTTTTCTCCTTTCCGCCTTCCCCCTTTTTCCTCTCTCCCTCTTTCTCTTTTAAATGAACACATAATTCTGTTTTATTTAACTATTTTTGTTATAATTAGCTGCCACTTATGTTAGTTATAATGGTCTCAATTCCAACAAACTCTAGCAGGGCTTCAGCAAGTATTAGATGTAATATAATTTACTATAGCCTTACTTTCTTGTAGGATTTTATAGATTCTAGTATTATTCATTGTAATATTTATTTGTAGTTCTGTAGGATTCTTTAATTTGAATGCTCTGTAATTTTATCTTAAATATATTTTTACCTTATTTTATTATATCAATATTTTTATTCCCATTTTAATATAATTGTCATGATCCATTTAATTAGAATAAAGTTGATTGATTATTTCAGTGTGTTTAAGGGTCACACTGTGTTTTTTAAAAAATACTCTGAAAATATGTAAGCCTATTACATCCTGAGTAAATTTTATTTTAGTTGAAAGATCTTCCAAGTAGATACTTGTAGGGTTACAGCTTGTGAAATATAGCTATACTTTAAGATAATCCAGATCAGAAAATACTTTGTTGAGATTCCTTACACAAAGGTGTAATCTGGATTTACTCAAACTTAAAGTGGGCGGGCAACTAGCTGTGTGGAGCAGTTGTAAACATCAGGCTCTTCAGAGTGTTAATGAATGTCATTCCTTTTCATTGTGTTGTCTTGCAGCAACGGATACCAGGTGGAATCTCTTTTCTGGATTTATAAGGTGAGTGTCCTTAGAGTACTATTACTATGATGATTATTAGTTTTAAAAACTTCACAAAATGAGCATTGAAAAGTTTTATTCCTTTTTGTTTGTGAAAGAAAAATTGTGCATGTTCTTGAGCATGGTTTTTTTGTCTCTTCTTTTTAAAGAAAAGATGCTTATTTTTGGTAGTCTCTTGGCAAAGCAGATGTAATTTATGTGATGTCACAATTCCATCCTCACTGCATTTTACATTATTAAAAATGAGTGGTTTGTAAAGAAGTAAGGCATATTAGCAATTGCATGGAGAAATCTGTGTCAGTCTCTTATCAGTATAAGCAAACAGAGACTTTTCCAGGTTTCAGTGCATCTTGCTCCCCTCTCACTTCAGTTTCAATTACAGCTTAGCCTGAGTTCTCTAATACAATTCAAAGTTCTGTCCTCTAATCACTGCTTTATTTTTTTTTAAATTTTTGGAGGGACAGTGGAGGCAATAAGGGCATCAACCTGCTTGAGAATTCAAGATTTGTCTAAAATTTGGGGACGCTGAATGTGTGGTTATTTTCATTACTTTACCTTTCTTTCTCCAGATTTAATAATATCAGAGAGTGATATACACAAAATATAGACTCTGGAAATTCTATACAAGTTGGGAAAGAATAAGAAATGTAGCAATTGTCCCACTGCTACATGGGTGAAAGATAAACTATGAGCTTACATATAGAATGTGAAGGAACCTCATCTTGTTCAGTGCTAGGCAATACATTTCCTTGAGCTATCTCTGTTGTTATACTGAAGGATTTAATTTGTACAACACACTAAGACATACAATATGATTTACAAACCATAAAAAGGTTTCTAAAACATACAGGGCCACAAATGAGCAAGCGACTTTCAGGTGTAGGCCAATCTGTAAAGCTAGCTGTTCATTTCAATTGAAGAGAATATACGTAGGTCAGGTTGAACTATGGAGTTCTTGGTGCTCTCTGGATTGGTTGTTTGCTTGCATACATCTTATTAACCAACTAGATAACATCATCAGTATCAGTATGTTTTGGATTTTTTCTGTTAATATAAAACAACTTGTCCTACAGTGATGGTGTGTGTGTGTGTGTTTCTCCTTGGTATTTCCTTGATTTAGGGGGTATTGTTTTCTGCTTCGTTCTTTGTCTGGTGTTAATCCCTGCTTATGTGGTTGTAGTCTGGTAGAAAGGATGTATTCTGGTCTTTTTGTTTTCTTATCTTTTAATCGAATCCTTTGAATGGTGTGGAAATGTGGTCTCTATATGCCTATTGATGGCTGTTATGTCTGAAAGCTAAGCTTCCAACAATTCTATAGCATTTTTGCATTTAGCTTGGTCTAGGATGCTGTTTCCCATTTGAAATTAAGGTGAAATCTGTATATATGTTGTGAAATTAAGTATTTTTCATTGTGTCTTCTGACTGCTAGGTGGTGTTCATGGATGTACTCTGCTAGTTTTCTGCCTATCTGTTCTACGCAGTGGCTGTTACAGTCCTTACACTATATTGTAGAATAGATGACTTCTTTTTAATTCTTGGGCTGTTTTTTGATTTACTTTTACAAGGTTTTAGTTGGTTTGTGAACTATGGTGATACTATGTGGTTGAAATAATCTGTTGATAGTTTGTCAGATATTTTTGATGTATGGTAGTTTTATCCTTTTCATAGTTTGTGTTGGATGTGCTGTGATGGGTTGAGTGTTCAGGCACTTTTTGACAAAGTTGTGTGGGTATCTATTTTGTTGGAAGATGTGTAGGCAGTCTGTTTTCTTTTGTTGGTATTCTGGGTTGCTCTGTGTTTGTACTATTTGAATAATCTTACATAACTCTTCTTATGTTGGTCCTTTGACAATGGAGAAAAAGAAAACACCACAACGCCACCAATACCAGCAAAAACTACTGTATATAAATAGGGAGCAAATATCACACTCACTAGCATTGATTTTGTTACCTAGTTGGGTAATAAATTGTCTGCAAGCAAACTACCAAGCTTAGTGCTAAGGACTGCATTGCTGTTTATTTGCATAAAAAGTCTTCTAGGCATACCAAAGTTCACATAACACTCAAAGGGGTTGCAGTCTCTCTCCTTCTATAAGACAGGAGAATGAAAGGTAGTTTTACTACCTATGACTTACCTTGATGATAAAGGCAACTCATTTTCCTGATAAAGTCATGCCACAAGTAATTACTTGTATCTGTATTCCGCTTGGTAAAGAAAACTTTGGAAACCAACCCACAAGCTCAGAGAATGAACTTCCACCCTTATCCTACACCCGAGCTACAGATATTCATCACTACTGCAAATCCAAATAAATGAAACAGCGTGAGTTTCCCTCATGGATTGCCTCACTAGAATTTTCCAATTGACTATGCTACAACTTAATTAAGTTTGAGCAAGCTTAGTCTTTCATCCTGTCCTACTTTCTTTTTTTCTCCTACTTCTTTCTCTTACGTTTCAGGTCTGTTATTTGATGGTATGAAAGTTGGGAGTCCATTATCAATCAGACTTCTTTTAAAGCCTTTCATGAATACCACCTCAAGAACTTGTAACTTTCATCTTCGCACTATCTAGATAATTTATACATTTCTTAGAACTGACAAATTAGTTATATTTTGGTGGTGCCCCACCTAGATTACTGTAAAGAAAAAAAACTGTCCTGGACATTGCCCAATTCACATGAATTTTTTTATTTTGTAATCTATAATTTGGCTGGATCTTCAGGAACACTACCAGTTCAGACTACTGGAGCTGACATTTTGGGGTACTTTATCAAGAAATACATGGGGTATTATTTTTTTAGAAAAATATTGGTTACATTTTGTATTCCTATGTATTCTGATGTTATAAAATGGGAATAGCTTAATTTTCTTGTGTCAATGGCCACCTCGTATTTTAGAAATTTCTGCCATCTCGTTCCTATACTTTAGAATCAATTCCCCTTTGAATAGTATTCAGAGTGATCTTATAAGGTTTAAAAAGACTCTTAAAATGCTTATTTTTTTCAGGTTCTTGATAAATTTGAAAGATCTTTTCAGTAGCAATACTCTGTAGGACTTAAATTATGGCAAAGGTTGGATTGAAACTTTTAATTATTAAATAATTTTATTGTCAATATTGATTTATGTTGTATTGTTAATTTTATTTTGCTTATACTATATTAAAAATAAAGCACAAATGACAATACTCAACATAATTACGATACTATCAATTCTTATATATACATCACTGACTAGGCTTCTCCATTGTTTCCTAGGACTTGTGAGAATGACTAATCTCCAAGAAATCATCACTGGATACAGGTAATAATGAGCTTATATACACACAGCAACCCCACCATTAAGTATAATGAAGCAGTTAATATAGATTGGGATGTGTAAGGGGTGATGAACTCAAATAAATACTTCATGTGATGATGTCATTTTAAATTGTAGCCCAGAACATCCCTGTATATAAGGCAGCTATGCATTCTGAATTAACTGTGATATCTTTCTGTACTGGGATTTCTCTGGCACCTCATGATGCATTACTTTGAAGGGGCCTTCAGAATGATCTTAAATAGCGAGCTGAATCCAGGAGGAATGGTAGCCAGCTGCTGAGAAAAGAAGGGAGTGGTGGATCTTCAGGTCGAGGTTGTCTTTCAGATTGTCTTTCCATAACTCTCTGGAAATAGTCTTGTGCAAGACCTGTCTTTTTAAGAATACCCCATCACTCAATATAAATTTCTTTTTCTCTCCAGCAAGCTACTTTAAAGAAATAAGTCAATTAAGAATCAAACTTAACGGAATCAAAAGCAAACTATCCCTAAATTAAGACAAATCCATCACAAACTAACTCTGACGTCCTCTATAACGATGTTAATTTGTTTATATATTGACACTTCCAAAGGGGATTTCTAGCAGTAAATTTCCCAGCCTCTATGGCCAACATTATGGAAGGTGCCATTCTAACTTATCTAGAATGCTAAGTTGGAGAAGGCTGAGCCTTTGAAATATTTTGGATCCAAGCACTACTCAGGTGCTTGTAACTAGATAAACAGAATTGATAGTTATTACTGCTAAGTGTTCTTCATATTATCTTGTGAATCTTATCTCAGAAAAGGAAGATGCCTTATCCCCTTACTGATGTTTCTCTGTTGCCATCAGCAATCAGAAGATAGCAAGCAATTTTTCTACTTTCCACTTTGTTCTACTTTAGAACAAAGTTGAATGGTTTCCCAGAAGATGTGGATTAGAAAAAGTGCAGCCAACAACCACGAATACCTCACTCATAGGATAAAACATACACAAGCAACTTATAACCTGAGGTTCAGTTATGGTCAATATAAGCTTCCTTCACATCCTCTGCCTTCTTCACAAAACATGCAGTCTTCTCAGCTGTTTGGCTAAGCCAAAAGGGAAATGGTGATATACATAAATAAAAGAGATGGCAATGAAATGTACCTTCTCCAATAAAAAATGCTCAAAAATATTGTTGACACAGGAATTAGTTGTACTCAGCATAGATGTTTCAGTAAATCTCCTTCAGCTGAACTTCAGACATTTTTGTTGAATTGTGTTCTTTTATGAATTCAGTGGAAATGAATAATCCTGAAAAATCTTCCTCCATTCACAATTTATACTACCTACATTTTGTTGATTCTAACAGGACAACTTTCCAGAAGCAACGATTCATGGCAACGGCAGCTATGAAGAGTGTGAAGAATTATTTCCAGTGGCTTTATTTTCAATACATGATAGTTACCTGCGGCATTGACTTCGAACACTGGGAACAAATGATGATTCACATTTTTGTTATCACTACTTTTACCATGCTGGCATACACAACATATGTGTTCATTCCTATTCATCTGCACCTGGCTTATCAGTTCTTTCTACAATTTTTAATCAAATAGCAAAGGAGGACACTGAACTATACCTATTGCAACCAAGCTTGGGTGCTTCTGTGTATTTTTGCTTCATCTATGTAAATAGAAAATTTAAAAACATTTAATATCTTTCCTTCCTAAATTATTATATCAACTGGTACCATTAGATGTACAGTATTAACTTGGAGGAGCTGCTAAAGATTTGGATAGTTTTCACAATCTATTTTATCACATTAATTTTTTATTTTATTATCAGACAATGAAATGAAGTGAAACTAAAAGTGGGTAGATATATTGAGAGGGAAAAATCAGGGAAAATATCAAATATGTATACAAACTGATAAGTAATGGGAAAGTGAGTTTCAGTCTGATATTAGAGATGTAATTTAAAACTTCTGAACTAAAGTCTCAATCTGTGGTAAAATGTCTTAAGAGTAATTTTTATTTGGCACTTTTTTCCACTGTTAATATTCAGTTGGTGCGGATATTGTAATAGCAGAACTATATAATAGTCTGGCAGATTGGACTGTGACTAAGTGTAAAAAGTCTACCCTTGTGACACAGATGTTGTTTGATAATACAGTATAAAATATGTATTTGTCAAATGATTGGGATATGATCTACTTAAGCTTTATAAATGGCTTGATTTAAATATTAGAGATGTGATAAATTATTTCCTGATTTTAATACTGACTGGAGCATAAGCAAAATGGCAAATTTCAAAAAGCAATCATGAATATAACTGAATTAATGTAATACGCTTTCAATAGACTATAATTGAAGTGAATGGCAATGATCTCCATAAGGGAGATAACCTTAGGTCATGATTAGTGGTATCATTGTTAAATACCGTTGTCTCCTTAGGTTGACACCAACCAGTGGAACTAAAGATTAGAAAAGATTAGAATGTTCTGCCCATGCTGAGAAGTCCCATCAACTGGCCTTAGAAGTAGGATGAGCCCTTCTACTGATTAGTTTGGGTTGGTGCTATCCATATCTCCTGTCCTGGATTCCAGGCCATTCTTTGTTATAATGTGGGTGGCCATAGGAAGTCATTGAACAATTTATGGAATGAAGGACATGAATGGTAAACGGGAGAATACATTTTTTGACATTTTTTGATGGTTTTTCTACTTCACCATGTAGCCCTCACCACCAATCTGAAGGTCTATGGGATGGGGAACTGTATTATAAAGCAGGAGACAATGAATTTTATGCCAACTTTTTTTCTATCAACTGAAAGATATGTAGGAAGCATTACAAGTGGATAGTGGGGAAAGCCCCTAGATTTCTCCATTGTTGTTCTAATTTCTTGATTTTATTGTTGCCCAAGCTTGACTTCCTTTCCATGGATTGAAAAACCTGGGAAAATACTAGATAATATTTGAAGTTACTTAATCTTAAACCACACAAGAATATAATCATGTGAACTGTGAATCACCCAGAACTGGTTTGGAGTCAGGTGGTGCCTACATTGAATTAATTTTCAAACCTGAAAATTATTTTGTTTCTCATATTGCAGAACTAATGCTCCCCTAATAGCATATTAATGGCATTAAAAGGGAGATGTTAATCTCGTTTATATTTAGCCTTTCTCAAAAGTTTAACACAGTAGTTAAGAGTACATCCCTCTGGAATGAACTACCCCCCGAGATCCGGATAATTCCGGATCTCCTTACCTTCCGTCGCGCCCTCAAGACATGGCTCTTCCAGCAAGCGGACCTGACCTAGGGTGGATTTTACATTGGGTTTTAAATATTCGGAAGACGCAACATTAAAATTCGG